TGTGATTCACTGATGCCCACGCAGGTTACCAAAAGTTACATGACAAAAAAATGTATACATATCTATCTCTCCAACCTTTTCTGAACCCAACACAAAGATTTAATGAGAAAAACACATCAGAAACGGACACCCACAAAGTATGAATCTTTTTTTTTTTAAATTGAGCAATATCACGCAAGCAATATTGTTTGATTATCTGCGTACTGGTATTCACAGCCATAATGATTTTACTATTGTATAAAAGCAATATCACACCTGCAGTCGTGGTGCCTGCACAGTTGCGAGTGTGATATTGCTTTTATACAATAGCTCAACAAGTTCATATTGAGTAACTTACATTATTTTAGACACATTAATATTGTCAGTTAGTCAGGCATGTCACACTTTCAAGCCAGAAATAGCACAGAAGTTTTTGGCTGAATTGCAATATGATATATATCTCTGTATTTTTTTACATTTTGCCTATGTGCAAAAAGGGTTACTAATGTTACATTTAAAAAACAAATATAATGCTTCTTAAAGCAGAAGGCAAGGCAAGGCAAGTTTATTTATATAACACATTTCGTACACAATGGTAATTCAAAGTACTTTACATAAAATAAAGTAAAATAATCATTAAAAAAAATCACAAGAATAAAACAAGGAATTTAAAAACTTTGAAAATGATTTATTTAAAACGAATTTAAGACAGTTAAAAATAGAAAATGATTATACATACATAAAATACAGTGCAATCAGTTCGGACATCGCACAGTGCTCATTTAATAAATGCACAGCTAAACAGATGAGTTTTGAGTCTAGATTTAAACGTGACTAATGTTTTTGCACATCTGATTCCTTCTTAAAAAATAATTCTGATTCCACATCTGATTCCTTCTTGTGCAAAGAATTCCTTCTTTGCACGTCTGATTCCTTCTTAAAGCAGAAGTTAAATTCACTAAACTATAGGCTAAAGAAAGAAAGAAAGACTAATTGGATTAGGCTACCCCATTACAACTTAATTAGCGGAGCCAATCCTCCCTATACGCAAAATATGCAAGCTGCGTAGGGCCCCCGAAACACCAGGGGGCCCCCTTGCTCTCAAAGATGGTTTCATTTTAGTTTTGTTTTTGAATTTGGCCAGCGGTTATGAAAACATGAATGATCATTTCTTTTAATGCACTGCGCTGTCACCCTTTCTACGTAAAAATCAGTCAAATCATGTAATGTGAATGTCATACAGTCTTGCTCGAGACTAAAAAAACAAGTTGAAAGCGTACCGAGCCACAGAAGAGACACTGTTTCTCAAGCGCTTTCCGTGAGCGCGATTCGAGACGGAGTGAAACACGGACAAATGCGTTTCTTTCATTCATTCATAACCACTCATTCCCCACTCCACCGCCCCCCTCCCCCGTTTTTGCGTTTTGCGTCGGGCCCCCAGAAGTCCCCTGTTAATTAGGCTAATGTTATTATAAAAATACACTTAGCCTACTTGTAGGTTTAAAATTTAGCATATGGCACATTTATTGTCCAACAACAAATATTTTAGCAAAATGTATATTTTAGTCAGAATGATTGCGATCTTATTCTGTTACGCGCCATCTGTTTGGTGTGCATGCGTGCGGCGGTGCTCGTTCACTAAAGTCTGTTAAGTTTAGTGGAGAATCGCGCGCAGAAGGCACATGCACTCCTGACAGCAAAATGGAAATATTTCCGTAACTTTCTAACATTTACAGATGGAGAACATACCTGTGAAATGTAAGTTATGCACTGAGGAAAACATCACATCTCGAACGCGTTAAACAGCGCACGTAGCCTGTCTGTCAGCAGCACATGAGTCTGTCAGAGCACCTGACGGGACAAACCGCTTTAAACTAGACGTGTTAACTGTATCTTACGAGTTATTTTAAAGCCCATATCTTATGTTTAGAACAAATTGGATTATGCACTTTCCCCGCAGCAGCTAACTCTGTCTTCCGCTATTTCTCATTCAGATGCGCTCATTTCCAACTACTGTATGTCTATATATTGATATGAAAGGTATTGCTTCATATCATATCGTTAGTAAAAAATATATATCGATATATCGTACAAACGCGATATACTGCCCAGCCCTAAACATGATGAAGAATATTCAGTTCTGACACTTATTTTTATACATGGTTTCACAGGTAAATGTTTTTTGCACAGGTAAATGTTTTGCGTTAACTTTACATCATTTGCTAACGACTTGCTTTCCCCTCACTGATCTCTATATTATAAATTATAAATACATGATATTTATAGCCTATTATAGGTCACTGTTTCAGCCATGTTTCAAAGCAATGTCACAACTCATAGTATCTAGAATTCAGAGACAAACAACAAGCAGGGCAGTGAAGAAAAAACGGTATCGAGATGCGTTTTTAAGTTGACAGTGTCCTAAAACAGTGCTCATGCAACAAGCAGGGCAGTGAAGAAAAAACGGTATCGAGATGCGTTTTTAAGTTGACAGTGTCCTAAAACAGTGCTCATGCAACAAGCAGGGCAGTGAAGAAAAAACGGTATCGAGATGCGTTTTTAAGTTGACAGTGTCCTAAAACAGTGCTCATGCAACAAGCAGGGCAGTGAAGAAAAAACGGTATCGAGATGCGTTTTTAAGTTGACAGCGTCCTAAAACAGTGCTCATGCACAAGACACTGCAAACGATGAAAAACAAAACAAATGAAACAAGTCAATGACATGTTTACATATAAAAACAAAGCTGCGCAAAAACATTAGTGCAGTAGAATGTGGGGTTTAAGTGAATAAAGAAAAAGCGTGCTGTATGTTGAAGTGACAGGAGAACAAGTTCACTTTCACCATTCATTTGCTATAATTTACAGATTTTAATTTGGTTTTAGTACACTATTATTGGATAAAACATGTTTCTGTATATAAGATAAAAATAAACAATTACAAAATAATGCTTTGGGGCCCATCAGTGTCTTGGTGGGCCCTTATGCCCGTCATACTCTTCCCCCCCATAACGGCGCCTCTTCTTGTAAGATTTCTTTCTGCTGCCATATCTAGACTTTCAAAATTGAAGAACAAAATTTAAAATGGCCTAGTAGCCATTTTTTATATTGATTACTTTTGTGTCCTTGTGTCTCAAGATTAACACACCTGTCAAAGTAATATGTAGAATATGCACAGGAAAGAGGTTTCTTCTTTAAAAGCACCATAGGTGGGATACTAGTTAATGGCTGTTATTTATTTGCTGGAATGACAGGTTTACAGTGGAACTCCTCCTGAAGTCATTTCGGTGCCATGGGGAGGTGTTTTGTATGGTTGGCTAATGTCCCCACTCACCGATGCATTACTCAGCGGTGGTATATATTGACTTTGTTAGTTGCAAGTTGTGTACAAATAACCTTTAGAGGTCCCTAAATAATAGGGGGAAAGAAAAAAAGAGAAATTGAGGTTTTGCTTTAATCACTCTAAATATGTAACAAATCAGATATTCTAAAAATATCTGACAGTATGGTTTAAACAGAATAATTGTATGCAGTAGTATCTGCAGTGAGGCTTTTTCCCTATACAGACAATAGGTCAACTTTAAAACGTTAGCCTTTAGGTGAGAATGTTCAAATTTACAAAGGTAAAAACAAACACATTTGCATAGCTTTTTTGACAAGCAGCATGTGTTTAATCTTGTACAACCACTTTTACAGATTACTGAAAGACTGCACTGTATGGATTATTAATCAATTGGTTCTAAAGTTTTGAATTGGCAAAATGATCATACTATTCACATTACTTGTGCAGCTAAATGCCTTTGTTGCAAAAATGGAAAGAACATTTCTAAATAGGTTTTGCGTTTGCAATTACAGTCTGATATATTCAGTCTCAAGAAGCCCTATTCTGAGAATCAAGCTTTAGTACCTGTACAATTCTGTTATTTATTTGTTACATTTGTATGACATAAGCTGTCACTGTGAAAAGGCCAACTTGACTAAGACTAAATCTCCAGTTTAATTATCTTAAAGTCAACATGAAATCAAAATTGCCGTACTTATTCAAAAATGCATAGATACAAATGTACCGACAATGAATTTTAAATATCTAGTTGGAGCTGTGGTCTAGCAGTTATGTACATAAACACACCATTGTGAATATTAGATATCATGATGCCAATAAAATGGATGGAAATTGTTTAAAACAAGAAAAAACACAAAAGCTGATGTATGAACATTTACTACATATAACACCTGATACACCCATCTACATACAACAATTATACAAAACATGCTCTATGTACATAAAAATTATTCCTTAAAAATATCAACAATAAATAAGGTCTATGCATTGGAAGAAACAAAACAAAGAATAGCAAGTGCTCTCATGCGCAGTGACATCTGTTTTTCAATAGAATGATAAGCCATTAAAAAAGCAAATACACATTGAATTCTTGTCACTTTAACTCAAGTACATATTAACAGCTACTGGTCTGTAGTCGTTTCTTTTATAACAATTATGGCTTGAATTTGAATTGGGATTTTTTTTTTGTGTGACTGAAATGACAGCAGGCCTGAATTTATGCAATTTGCAAAAATATAGCCCGCCTATGTATGACCAAAAAGTGTTGATAGTCTTGATCCACACAAACAACGGATAATGTAACCGACAACATTCAAAATGTGTGAACAAAGCCTTTAGACCAACACGGCAAAAAATGACCCAAAGTATCAAGTAATCTCAGTGCGGATGAGACTTTTTTTTTTAGACGTTTGCTGCACATGTGACATTATACACTCTTAAAAATAAAGGTGCTTCACGATGCCATAGAAGAACCTTTTTGTCTAAATGGTTCCATAAAGAACCTTTAACATCTGAAGAACCTTTCTGTTTCACAAAAGGTTCTTTGTGGCGAAATAAGGTTCTTCAGATTATAAAAAGGTAAGAAAGAGATGGTTCTTTAAAGAACCTTTGACTGAATGGTTCTTTGTGGAACCAAAAATGGTTCTTCTATGGCATCGCTTGAAGAACCTTTTGAAGCAATGGTTCATGAGCACCAATGAATCGGAACCATTTCAGAAGAGTAAAGCAGGACGCATATTACAAATTCTCCTCCATATGGACATGTGAAACCAGTTTCCAAATGTGAGAGATTGAATTTGAAAGGTGACAATCTGATTCCTTACTCTAACACGCACACATACATGCATACATAACCCTGACTCATATAGTAGGCGGTGAATGCTTTTATAAACCAAATCATCGTTCATCTACTGAAAGAAAGGGTCAGTATTTTTGCATCCTGATGTGAACTGGCAATGTGGGTGGGGGACTTTTGTATGTGTGTGACTAAACGTGTGCTGAAGCTGCCTAACCTGATTCTGTCATTGCAGGCTCCAGGCTATAAAGCAAAATACAGCCACTCAGACAAGCCCCATCTCACAGACCAAAGTGCGTGCTATGAAGTCTGGAGAATGTCACAGAAGGCCAAAAGTTTGATTAAAGATTAAAGAAAGAATCCAAAAACAAGGAGTGGGATCAGATCCTGGCCCAAATCTCAAATTGAAAATCCAAGTCCTAATGTTTTGTTTCAACACCAACCAAAGCTTGTTTGTTCATTTCAGAGATACACAATATTCTCCTCTCCATCAGTATCTCTGTTCTCTGTCTCCATGGTAACAAAAGGCTGGTTGACGAGCAGGATGCTGGCTTGATGAAGCCCTGCCTCTGTTACTCCGGCTGACCAAGATTCTTGGACATGACTGAGCTGACCCACATCTGTGAAGACAAGATCGGATATTATTATTCATTGCGTCATCAATAGTCACCATACTTACATTATTCATCATTTTCTTCATGTTGATCCATCATTTTCTTTCTTCAGTGAAACACAATGTTTTGCATACAACTGAGGATTTTGGATGGTGGATGATATTTTATAATGCAAAGCTCCGCAAAGGACAAAAAAAGTACCATTAAAGTCTCGCAGAAGTGGTTTTGTGTGATACATTCCAAGTCTTCTACTAGCTTTGTGAAATTTAAGTCATCATTCACTGATAAATACAATTTTGAGACCATCGATTTTTCATTGTATGTAGAGCAGAAGCTCCTTTTGTGTTTGACCAAAGGAAATAATATGGGTCAACATTTTTTTATTTGAGCAAACTATTATGTTCATTTTCATGTTACTACATTCATGTAAAAAAAAATCTAATCCACACAAGGGCTCCAGCTCAAATGCTATCACATGTAATTTACATTCATGTGCTGTTGTGAATGAAGCTGATGAATCCCTCTCATTTAATTACCTGCTTCTCAACTATGACCCAATTTCGTTATCTCCATTCCGAATGTTTGTGTATGTGAGGTAATGTTGTTAGCTGAGCACTGTTTGAACAGTGAAGGTCAAACAGTGACTATTGTGAGGCTGTGGTCTTGACCTCTGACTGAACAGTTAACCAAAGTAGTGCTTGTTGATTTAACCAGCACTTCAATTAAGGCCTTCATATATAGGACAGGTAACATTCAAATGCATGCACTTCGATTAAAAAAAACAAATGTTCAGTTTGAAGGTACAGCAGACTGTGAGGAGATCTTTCAGTTTGTTGAGTGAATCATGACCATTGTGGACACAAAAATGTATTTCATTTAGTGCTGTCAAAATTAACGCGAACATGTTTATGACCACATCAAACAGGAGACTTTTCAGATGCGCACTCCAACTTCGCCTCAGCGCCAGGTGCTATTCAAACAAGTGCAGAAAAGGTACAGGTGACGAGGGAGCTTTAGTAGAACAACAGTGAACTGCAATCAGATGAGATGTTGTCAGGCCATATGTCAGTAAAAACAAATTGTCCTGTCCTGTCAGCCATTATACTGTGCTGGTAGCACATGCTCTTCAATTGCACACACAAAAGCGGCGGCGCGTGCTGTAGCCTATACCATTTCATATTAAAGTGCAAAAGAAACAACAAGCATGCAATGTCGTAGTAATGTTATCAGTTAAGTCATGAAGTTACCAAAAAGGCGATTCAAGCTGCCTTAAAACCATGATGTATGTAAGTATTTGTTATAAATGAGTCAGATTTAAGAACTGTGATGTCTCTGAAATGCAGTGGTTTTCAAAACTGTTCTGGAGCAGCCCAGCACTGTCTCCCTCATCTAACACCCGATTCAACTCGTCAGCTTATTAGTAGAGACTTTAAAACCTGAAGTGAGTCAGAAAAGGTAGAGAGTTGTGAGAAAATACGATGCGTGTCAAATCCAAAATTAAGCCGCCAAAATAACCTAATAACCCAGCTGCTGTGATGTCTGTTAATCAAAGAACAAAAGCAAAAAGAGGAAATCAATAACTTTTGTAGCTTTAAGGATTCATCTATTTTTAATTTAGAATAAGGGCACAGGTAAATATGACATTTATTATAATGGGTTTATGTGAAGATTGTTTTAAGTTCATTTAAATTAGAAGTTGTTATTTTTTAAAGTCTAATAATGTTCAAATTGATAGCTCTCAATTATACTGTAATGTTGAATGGCTATAGTCAATGGTTAAATATTATTAGGGAAAAAACTATTTTATAGAGACATCAGTAGTATTGGTATCAGTTATACTTGCCTTCAGTCATAAAAAAGATGCTATTATATTAAATATTACAAATATTAAAAATATACTGTCTTTATGTTGTTTCTACATTAATTTGAAGATAGGATGTGAAATTATTTCAATAAAAAAGTTTATTTAAAAACTTTAATGTTAGGTGGGATTAATCGCGATTAATTTCAGGGGGGAAAAATGTGCGATTAGTTTTTTTTATTATTATTAATTGACAGCACTAATTTAATTATGACCTTCACCTGTGTTTAGCTCTACAGAAGGTCTACTCCTTTGTTCACGTATCGGTTTAAGCATGTGCGTGTGTCATTAGCATAATCTTTTTTGACCCTAGACATTTTAGGATTTAATTCAATTAATTATTATTGTTTTTGGAAAAAATTATCTTATGGTCACCAGGGCTCCATTTATTTGGTCAAAAATAAATTTAAAACCATAATATTGTGAAATATTATTACAATTTAATATAACTTGTTTCCAATTTCAATATATTCTAAAATGTAATTTATTCCTGTGACGGCAAAGCTGAATTTTCAGCAGCCACTAGTCCGGTCTTTAGTGTCACATGATCCTTCAGAAATTATTCTAATATTCTGATTTGCTGCTTAAGAAACATTTATTATTATTATTATCAATGTTGGCAAAGGTTGTGCTGCTTAATATGTTGATGAAACTAAAACATTTTCTTTTCAGGATTCTTTGATTAGTAGAATGTTCAAAAGATTTATTTGAAATACAAATTTCTATAACATTATTAATGTCTTTGCAGTCACTCTTGATCTAGTATAAAGAATAAATTTAGTATAAATAAATAAATACATAAAAATGTAGAAACATGTAACTACCAGCACATGCTATAACTAAGCCATGCTAAACAGCCCTTAAGTGCAGTGTTATGGAGTTTTCCTGTAGAAAGCAGGGAATTCTAGGTAAACAAATGTAGTAAATGTGCATTGTGGGTATATATGGTAAATAAAACCCTATAGATGATGAGATTAGTTAGGAAGTGGGACCCTAATCTAGTGCACGCTTGTGCACCCTTGTGCACGCTCTGTCAATAATGAGAGAGGGTTAATGAGGCAATCAATATAAACACGATAGAACAAGTAAAAAAAAAGCAAGTAAATAACAAGATGTGCTATTTACTGTGCTATTTACAGTAATATCCACCTGTAAAAACTTGCATTTCATTTCAGTGTTCAACAAGTACCTTCTGACATTACAGAGATAAAGTGCATGTGTGAGAGAGACAATTCATAATTTTAAACAGACAACTCGGACAGCTCATGTGTAAAAAACAGATGAATACGTTTCTGTCCCTCTCATCCCCCTCCCCTCCCTCGTAAGATGACAAGCCACTCTGTAATGAGTTTGGTAAAGATTTTTTAGATCAATGTTCCAATCAGTCTCCTGTAGCTGGAGGCCCTTGATTCACACGCTACTGTCCCCCCGACAGTCAATAGACAGAGGTGTAATTGATCGCTGAGACAGATGTGTATCTGTGTGTGATAGAGTGAGGATGAATATTTGTTATTAAACACAGATTAACAACACAAAGAGAGCAAATCGACCTTCACTGCTGCAACACAAGATTTAGTAACGATTCGCAAGTTGATGCGATGAAATCAAATCTTTCTTTTGCTTCTATGGCATAGTTAAGGGCCAAAGATATACAAAAAAAGTCCAGCTTGACTTTCTGCTATGTTGTTAACTATGGGCAGCTATAAAATAGCAGAAATGTTCCAATCATTCTCTAATTCTGCAACACCTTTTATATTGCGGTATATCCGTGACATGATTTTAAATCAGAAAACTATAGCACATACTCCAAAGTGTGTTGCACTTTGGACACTTCTTGCATGAAGAGCTTGGTTGATTATAATGGGAGCAATTTGTTTGGATGTGTCACCATGTGCCTGGTGCAGTTAACTATAGGTTGTTTACAGTTGCCTATTAATGTCAAAACAGGTATTTCAACAGGCTCATCCAATTATTTGTAATGTATGACTTTTTTGAGTCTGGTTTTTAACTCAAGTGTTACGTAATGAGGCTATATTCACATTGAGCCAGACTTCATCAGTTTATATTCTTACCCTTTGGTTTGAGTCATAATATATTATGAAAATATTACTGAAAATATATTATGGTTTACACAAAAATATTAAGCAGCAATATTTCTTCAGCAGCAAATCAGCATATTAGAAGGATTTCTGAAGTATCATGTGACACTGAAGACTGGAGTAATGATGCTGAAAATTCAGCTTTGCCATCACAGGAATAAATTACATTTTAAAATATATTAATATAGAAAACCGTTATTTTAAATTGTAAACATATTTCACAATATTAAGATTTTTTTTTTAACTTTTTTATCAAATAAATGCATATAATTATTATTTTTAGGAGTGGGGAAAGTGCAGCATAAATGAAAAAAAATTTTTTTTAAATACTTGCACTGTGACTTAAGACTCTTATATCAATTAGTGATTGCAGTAAAAACATTACCATTGTTTGGGATATCTGTTAGACTTCTCAGAGGGGTCGAGTACATTGTTCCTCCAGTCCAGCTCTCATTCCCTGCAGGACCATCGGATAATCCAGCAGAGCTCTGTCTGTGGTTGGATCGTGCCAGGAGTGAATTGAGACTGTTCTGAGCACTGGGAGAATCCGAGTATCCTATAGATCCTGAGTGCAGGTGAACAGTCTGATGATGACAGTGTGGATGATGTTGAAGGTGGATGTGCCTGTTGTTCAGAGAGGGAGACATAAACGCTGCCTCGTTCACAAAAATGGATCCATGCGCATCCTGACCACCCAGGTGATGGTGACCAGCGTCCTGAAAGACAGACATGCGCATCACTCACATATAACTACAATATATACAAAACATCTTATCTATAAACAATGCAATCATGGTACATACTGTTGCACCTCATTCAAATGATATAATAAAAGTGATGCCCAGATGGAAGAAAGGTCTGTTTAGCACCTTGTGTGTTTTCTGTGAAGCTTTGCAGCTTCAGATTATGTGTAATGACACACAACTTTACCCCACCTTTTAAAGTCATGATGTAGAACATATGTGACCCTGGAGCACAAAACCAGTCTTAAGTCGCTGGGGTATATTTGTAGCAATAGCCAAAAATACATTGTATGGGTCAAAATTACTGATTTTTCTGTAATTACTGATGTTCCATGAAGATATTTTGTAAATTTGCTACTGTAAATATATTAAAACTTAATTTTTGATTTGTAATATGCATTACTAAGAACTTCATTTGGACAACTTTAAAGGTGATTTTCTTAATATTTTTCAACCTCAGATTCCAGATTTCAAATAGTTGTATCTCTGCCCAATATTGCCCTTTCCTAATAAACCATACATCATTAGAAAGCTTATTTATTCAGCTTTCAGATGATGTATAAATCTCAATTTCTAAAAATTGACCCTTATGACTGGTTTTGTGGTCCAGGGTCACATATAGAAGTAGTAAACTTACATAAGCTGTTTAATCCTGAGAGTTAGTTTGAAAAACAAAAAAAAAAAAAATAAACAAAGAGAATATGTTGGGGGGGGGGGGAAATAGCAAAAGTATAGAAAGAGGCCTCTTTTTTAATGTATCTAAAATTAAATTATAATGCAATCAGGGAACATACAAGTAAAAAAAAGCTCTCTGCCATTTTAGTCAGCCATGATATTAAATTAAGTTTTAATTTCCATCTTACCTCTATTAGCACCAACTGTATTATTTTAATAACTTCCACATGAGGCCTTTCTTTTTTTCTCATAGTTTTGTTTTGTGTGTACTTCATTTGATCACATTTAGAAACAACTGTTTCACCTTAGAAAATTGACAGCAGAGTCTACAGTATGATACGGTATACAGTACCCCTCTTCACCTCTCTTCCTGCGCTTTTCCTCATTCATTAAGCTGGCTGCATGTGAATTAAACGCCAGACTCAATCATTGACCCACAAGCTCAAAATCACCATTCTGTGCTAATCAGCCCTCACAAGCCTGAGGCGGATCTATTTTATATGGTTCATGTGTGTGGGGGAGTCTTAAAGGCAGACACAGAAATATACTCCCCAAAAGGTCACATCTTAGATGGTGGATACACACTCTCAAGCTATTTAAAGTCATGATTTCATGAATGCCATTCTGAGGGGGAATTCATGCAATAGCGATAACAATAAGAGGCTTTGGAAAAGGATTTTACCTCTCAGACTGATGCTGTGTTCACAAGATGTCTAAATGCAGAGTGCTGCTACAACCAGCCTCCATACAGCACTGTAAATGAAAGCATCCTGATACAAATGGTTTCTCACAAACATCAGTAAGACGACATTGCGATGTTTTTTTTATGTACATAAGAAGTCTCTTATGCACACCAAAGCTGCATGTATTTTATCAGAAATACAATAAAAGAACATCATTAATTTTAAATAGAACTCTTTTGTAACATTAAAAATAACTTTCACTTTCAATCAATTTAATGCATCCTTGCTGAATAAAAAATAAATAAAAATCTTACAGTGAAAAAGCATATTGGCCTCCACCTCTGTATTTTTCATGATCAATTAATAAAAGTAAATACAACTAGGAAACTACATAACTTCTCATTTATATAAGTGAGTCAAACACTAAATAGACCAAATGTATTGTTTTGTAGACTTGATCAGACTTAATGGGTTGTGCAACAATATTACAGCCATGTAGCACTTTGTTACACTACTACTTGTTGAAAAAAATAAAATAAAAATAGCTTGCTACTGTAAAAACTACACTGTTTCGAAAACACTTGAACTACTGTCACACCAGTGAAAAATGTAGTTTAGTGAACAAAGTAGTTGTAGTTACTCCCCAGTGCTGTGTTTTTGTATCTAGTGAAGACACTCCAGAGCAGAGAGCCATCAGATGGACACTACTGCCCTACATCTCGCCCTTGCACTTGTCAACTTTCTGATCATTCTGATCAAACTACACGAACAAATGAAACATCACTTCCCTGACCTGCAGAATGAAGCACACAGAGCTGTTTTTAATTATGTTGCCTTGGTAGGGGCTTTTCTATTATCATTAATCTTTAGCTTGTTTATTAGCACACAGTAAAAAGGGCTGAAGCTAAGACTGCCTCACACGGCCAAAGACTGATGAGGCATGAATTGCTCTCATTATCCCAGGTAATGAATCAGAGGCTTAGCTGTGTGTGAACAACAGACGTTTGACCGCAACTGAATCCTCCCTGTGTACAAGAGGTCGAAGGAAAGAAATGCTTTCTTCCTAAGTGGCCTGACACATCTGATTTGACTCTGCCTGATAAAACAACATTGGCTTTGGACCTTATAAATTCCATTGAGTTTGGGTTTCTGCCGTAGTCTTATTTATTTGTAAAGGCATGTTTGGGAGGACTGGTAACTGAATTTAATCCAATAATCCAAAATACTGCTCAACTCAAAGACAAGAAGAGAGAAAGAGAGAAATATGCATGCTAAGAAACCATAAGAGCAACCTGAAGAAATAGGGATGCTCATTACCACTGATTTTCATTTAGATTTTCTTTTAAAGAACTTAATACTTTCATTCAGCAAAGATACATTAAATGGATCAAACATGACACTAAAAAAAAGTCACAAAACATTTCTGTGAAAATGCTTTCTACTCTAAGAATCCTGAAAAAAGTATTACCGTTTCCACAAAATATTAAGCAGCACAACTGCTTTCAGCATTGATAATAATAAGAAATGTCTCTTGAGCACCAAATCAGCATTTGAATGATTTCTGAAGGATCATGTGACGCTGAAGACTGGAGTAATGATGCTGAAAATTCGGCTTTGTTAGCACAAAAAAAAATATTAAAATAGAAAACAATTGAAATTCTAATAATATTTCACAATGTAATTGTTTTACTGTATTGTTGAAAGAGACCGAAGTATACAAAACAGGTGAAATATGTGAGGAACAGCAAAAAGAACAACAAGAACAAAAAGACAAAAAAAGCAAATGGGATCAAGAAAAACTGAAAAAATATATAGCTTCTCTTTTTTGAATTCCTAACTGACAGTTTTGTTCCATCTTCAAAGTCAAATGAGAGCGGATTTGGGAGAGCTTTCCTCTGACATCACTATCTGGGTGTTTTGGCAACAGAGTAAAGGAGGGATGAGGAAAGAGCAGAGGAGCAAAGAAATATTTCAGCGTTTAGAAGACAGCTGCGTCTCCAGACTCACGCTGTGCACGAAGGCTTTTATGAAATACCCACAGCTCACAGCTATAGCTTTTAGGAATATTTCAAACATACACAAACATATACGGAGAACATGCATATACACGCACATGAACAAACAGGAAGAAACTACAAAGTCCCAAAAGCAAAACAAAAGCACCCTTGGTGCCACTAGTGGCAGTCCATCACAGGAGACAAGACAGCCTCAGTTTCCTCACAAATTATTCTAAATAAACTGATTAAAACTACTTTTAATCAATCTCTAACTAATGTGTATAACTCAAACGCATAAAGATGTATTTTTAAATAGATTCTTCTTTCATGTGATAGTCTAAGCAAGTTCAAATCATTGTACGAGAGCCAGAGAAGGCTGAGAGCCAAAAGTCTTCTCTGTAAACTGACCAATCAGAATATGAATGTGCAAATTACAACAAATTTCTTTCAAAAATGTGGCTTAAAAGGCAGAAGAAGGCCTACAATTTGTCTCCTTACAGATAAATTAGCAATCTTAACTAATGCATTCATTAGAGGTTGCTTCTAAAAAACATAGATTGCACTGCATGATTTAATCCATTCATATGAAGTGGTTGGCTGGTGTTCAGAAAATGATAATTGTTAAAGGTATAGTACACAATAAAGGAATCTGTGTTTCAGTTTTAATTGGAAATGAACAAAATACTATTATTCAATACAAAAATCTGTTCAAAATCACACTCTTGTCCTACCCCGAGTCATTACGGCCTACAAAAACGGTTGATATTCTGAGCTGTCTGGTTCAGTTCAAGTTTGTCATTCCACCTTCATTTTCACAGGTAAATACAAGTAAACCTCAAACCATTAGATTCATTTTCTCATAAGAGAAGTTCCAAAGGTCAACTGACGTAAAAAATGTTCCTTAGCAAGTAACATGAAAATTGTAATTGATTGGATTGTTTTTTGCTAATGTGCTTAAGTCTGATGTCACACACCACCGTTTCCAGATTCAAAAACTCTATGAGAACCTAAAAGCAAACAACAAACTGTTAATTTACACTCATGGTGTATATCATGATCCTAACCTTTATCTTAATAGCGACATCTCAGTTGACCAGGTGTCAAGAGTATTTAAAATCTTAGCTATGTGTGCTATAAATAAATAGTGCTCATAAACGGCTGTTGAGATTCTCAAATGAATTCTCAATTGAAACAAAGTTGAGACTTGAACCCGCAAACAGTATTTGATATGTCACGATTTAACAAGCGGATTGCTTTGATTGTTTCGTGTGAGTGACAGGTTGCAGGAGGGGAGGGATTGAAATTTGTCTGGCCATTGGACAACCTTTTTTTTTTTTTTTTTTTAATAATGGTGTATAATGATAAATCATTTATAATGAACATGGCAATATTCTATAAAAAGAAAGAATCCCATTATCATCACCTGTGTCTGCTGTCCATCCAGTGGTATCACCATAGCTGGCAGGTTCTGCTGGTAGCCCTGCCTCAAACTCTCCAGCTGAGCATCCAACTTCTCCTTCTCCTTTTCCACACTTCTCTGGCCTTCTCGCAGCCTCTCCAGGCTTTGCTGGTACTCCTGCAACTGCTCTTGAAGCTCCTGCTGCTCACTCTGCAGTCTCCGCTCCTCTAGGTGGCACACCACCTCCCTCTGCTCCAGTGATGCCTCTAGCTCCGACTGCTGAAGCTGCCGCATCTGGCACTCCCGTTCCCACTGCTGCCGCTCTCGTACCAGGGTGCCCCGTAGACGGGCCACGTCCACCAGCTCCTCTCGCCGGCGCTCCACCTCCCGCTGACGCTCCTGCTCCTGCAGGGTCTGGTTGCTGCGAGTGATCGGCGGTGGGCGGGAGTGTGGGTGAGGGGAGGGGCTTGATAACAGGAAGAGGAGGATCCTCTGGACTTCATAGCAACTGTCTTGGATGGTGACTGCGGCCTATTCACAAAAAGCGAGGGTGTTTTAAGTAAAGGAGATCAATGGAAAGATATCTTTAATTGCTGTCAACAATGGCTCTTGTTAACTGAAATAGCTAAAACGTATGTAGTGTCTTGACTAAACAATGACTAGGCAACTACCCTCATCTTCAATTCATCATCAGCCACTCACATAGTACTGTTCAAAAGTTTGGGATTAGTAAGATTTTAATAATTTGATTCTGCAATGTTGCATTAAATTAAACCAAAGTGACAGTAAACACATTCATAATGTTAAAAAATATTTCTATTTCAAATAAATGCTGTTTATTGAAGAATCCTGAATAAAAATGATTATGACCATTTCCCTGAAAATATTAAGCAGCACAACTGTTTACAACATTGATAATAATAAAAAATGCTTCTTTAACACCAATTCAGCTTTGCATCACAGGAATAGATTATATTTAAAAAAATATTAAAATAGAAAACAGTTATTTCAAATTGTCATAATATTTCACAATATTACAGAATGTTTGATCAAATTAATGGAGTATAAGAGACTTATTTAAAAACATTTTTAAAACAATCATACCAAGCCCAAACCTTTAAACATTAGTGTACATATATACACTACTGTTTAAAAGTTTGGGCTTGGTATGATTTTTTTTATGTTTTATATACTGTATATATATATATATATATATATATATATATATATATATATATATATAATGCAAGCCCAATGCACAAATTGCATCTTCTCTTGTGCCGTCTCTAGTGACTTGTTAAATGAAGCTGTTTTAGCCCTAAAAACCTGAGGACATTTTTTTTAGACATGGTTCCCTGTGGTATATCTAATGGATTTTTAGCATAGCAGTTTTAAATTTTGAGTAAAATAAGGTCTGTGGTTAACATTATTTGAAGACCTTGAAGAATTACTTTCACGTTTTGTTATATAACACTAATTGCAGTCGTAACTCAAACACATGTTGCTAAAAATAGAAGTTTCTAACAAATTGCTAAATAAAGACTACAATGCTGTCTTGCATAGGTAAAAGACAGTAACTAAATAATCTGTGAAAACTGAATAATAATTCAAATCGAGTCTCTTAGACTATGATCTGTCCTGTGACAGATGGGTTTGGCTCAACTATGCTCAGGTTCAGATTCATGCTCAGAGAAAGCTGACTGTGAAAACATATAAACATATATATCATATATTAAAAAATTAACTTTTGATCAATTTAATTAATCTTTTATAAAAACCTGAGCCCAAACATTTGAACAGTAGTGAACTGTAGTAGCTGCAGTCCTTGTGTAGCAATTGTCTATCAACTGTTTTTGAAGCACACAACAGCAACACATTCACATTTTATGTAAATTGTAACTGTGTAAATTATGCTATAGAACAAAATGCCACAGTTTTATTTTACTCATAAATCAAAAACAGCTATTCTAAAAACCCATTAGATATTCCAGAGGGAACCAGTGGTGAATTAGCCTTCCAGGTTGGCCTGCAAATTGACATCATGACTGAACAGCTCTATTATGCTTCCCTACTCACAAACAGTAAAAATACATCTAAATTTATCCCTTTGACAAGGACATCTATAGTAGCTTGGACATACCAATGTTTTTTTTTTATAGTGATTCAAAGAGAAGGCCAATCTCTTCTAAGAGCCTTTTGCAGGTGTGTCACTTATTTCTACGTCCCAGATCACCTGCATTACAACACCTCCTATTATATGTCCAAACCATAGCATGTTATATAAGAGAGTTTTATAGTTGGTCAAACACGTTTAGGCAATGAAACTTAAGGCTTGGACAGAGCTATTACAAGTGAGTCATGTTGTGGGTTTATGTGTGTCTGACGTAAGGCCTGTCCACTATAATTATTCTTTCAGTTGGTTTGTGGTTGTGTGACATTAGCTCACCTGTAGACTATACAGCAGCTGAGTCAAGCTCTGCACACTCTGACTCACCTGCATTAAGACAACAAACAAACAATGAGCGACAGAAAGTGAAGAACTCTAAATCAAAACTATGAGCCTACTCTGACTAATGTCTCTTCTTCCTGGAAAGAGAACAGTATACCTGTGTGCACTATAGCAGTATGTTCTGTTCTATTGCAAACAACAGTGCAATATATTTCATTTACATTTATTGGCAGACATCTGCTTCCTGTAGCACATTTTACAAAACTGCAAGTGTTGTGTTTACTTCAGCAGGTTCCTAAGGATGATTCAAAAACTTCAGCATCTGTTGATGATGAACTGTCTTTAACTGAAAAATTTGTGTTTACTATTGTCATTTTGCATTATTGACACACTATTTTCCTAATTAATGCTGTTCAGTTGCTTTGACACAATCTGTATTGTTAAAAGCGCTATATAAGTAAAGGAAAAGAAAAGAAAGAAAAAGAATGTTGACTCAAACACCATTTGGTTCTTTATCTACAAAGTCAACAGACAGCACAGGAAGCAGACGGCGGTGACCTGAGTTAAAGAAAACAGCCTTCTAGCCAAGTAGGTTTATAAATGAACAAGGCAAATTGTTCACTCAAGGATGCATGAGTAATGTGGGGGGACAAGACATCCATTGATTAATTACTTCCCAAAAAGTGAGAGGATGAAAAAATGCCTGTTAATGGTTATTATACCTCTACATTCACCTTATCTTGAGTTGGACAGTTTCCTATGTTAATTAAACATTGTGTTGGATTTTATATAAGAGAAAGACAATAATATTACTACACTTTAGTGCAATTTGGATTGTAGTGTAGAAGTATAAAGTGGAAGAGAGTTGCAACGAATACACTCTTTTGTGTTGAAATCAACACAAAACAAGTCTGCCCTCTTAAGGCAAGATTTACGTCCTGTCTATATAAATATTAAGTTTATATCACCACCTGGTGGACACACAACTATGTTTTTGTTGGCTGCTTATATGCAACAGGATTAATTTTGCCAAAATCTATAACTAAACTGAATACAAATATAACTTAATATAAATGGAGCTTAAATCCCAGAATAAATAAATGTAGAAAATAAATAAATATAATTTATTTAACATCCAGTAAAACAAAAATCCTTTGTTCCATTTCAGTTGGTCGCTTCAACGTTGTGTCGAAGTTCCAACACTAAGGGTCGCTCTTGGGAGCCCAGACACCTCTGACATTGAGAAAAGGCCAAGGAAATTGGCGAGTAAAATTTGCATAGCTGGCCACACCCCAGACATCCGGGTATAAATACAGCAGCATTTGCTCACTCGTTCTGTTTTTCTGAGCCGAATGCAGTATCTCTGTGAGAAGCGGCACTCATTCACCTCTCGATCTCCTCGTTGTTGGATCTACGGCACAGGCAGTGGTCAGGTAAATGTGGAGAGAGCAATAGCGGTGCATCTTTGCCCGTAAAACGCCGCCACCTGGCAGGGTTGCCTGAGACTACCGTCCAGGGCCTGTACGCTTTCTTCGTCCCTTGTGGTGAAGGCTTATACGGCCTCTGGACAAGCTGCGTCTGCCCTGCATGCCATGGCCATCCTGCAGGTCTACCAGGCCAAGGCGTTGAAAGAACTGCACAAGGGTGGTCCCAACCCAGAGGTTTTGCATGAACTGCGCTCGGCGACCAACTATGCCCTCCGGGCTACGAAGGTCATGGCGCAGGCTCTGGGCAGGGTGATTTTGCCCCCATTTTACAGACTGGTCTCTTTGGCGACACTGTTGAAGAATTTGCACAGCAGTTCTCCACAGCTAAGAAGCAAATGGAGGCTATTAAACACATCCTGCCTTGGTGTGGGTCAGGCCCTGGTCCTGCACCCCTGAAGCAGCAGTCTTCATCTGTTCGTCGCTGGGGATGGCGGCCTGCGAAGACTGCTGAGGCCTCGCAACAGCCCGGGCCGGCAGTCAAGCCTGAACAACGGCCCACCACTCGTAGGAAGGTGGGACCGCCAGCTCATCAGCAGGGCACTAAGAAGGCTTCAAAGCATACCTGAGACAGGCGACCCAGGGAGGAGGGACCATTTGACCAGCCCAGCTCCACTTCCGGTGTAGGGAAGGGGGGTGGATTCAGCTGTCTGCCATTCTGTGGACAGCCACCACATGGTCAATAAAAGAGCAATTTCCTTCTTCCCTGGGTCACAACCACACATCTGGTGTTTTTGGCCTTCCCAGACGCTGAGACTAGGTATCAGAGCCTGTTCGCACACAGACTCTTTGTCTCCTCATGTTCTGATGCAACAGGTCTGTCATCAAGTCGGTGTGACATGTTGACGAACCCCTGTTCTCTCATTCGTCGGTAGCTCATTTGACAGACCTGGCGGGCAAGGCACTGTGCGCTTCGAAGGATGTTTTACCTCTTCCCAGTGCCTTTTGCTCCACTGAGCCCAGGAACCCTGCCCTAGGTACAACAAACTTAGTTCCTTTGAGACCATTGGCGAGGTGTCTGGAAGACTGGTTAAGCCTCCCCAGCCTTTCCTGCTGGCTTCTCAGAACCATTCGTCTCGGCTATGCGATACAGTTCACCAGGTGTCTGCGAAAGTTCAGTGGCATTCTGTTAACCTCAGTGCGAGGCAAGAATGCTGCTGTTTCATGTAGCTGAGTTTGGCAGAGGAACTCACTGTTATAATCCATTACGAGAAGGTATCCCTCAAAGTGAACTCTCCTAATGGGTTAGTGCTCCACATGTAGTGGCTCCCCTTCATGGCCCCATATGTGTATTACTCCACTGACTTGTCCGTTAGGATTTAGTGTTTCCCCTAGACAGACGCTCGGTTTGTCACTGAGTTCTGTGCTTGGTAGTTCTCCCCTTATGCGGAGCCTACAACAGAATCTTCCCTATGTGGTCCTTCCTTCAGTAAGTCCATAGGTCAGTCTTCACATGTTACCTCCCCTTCGGGTAGGATGTGATCTCCGTAGTGTCTCTTTCCCTTGTGGGAAAACAGACACTTTCCCAACGTTACCTACCATGGCTTTCAGCCATCACTTATTACTGTTTTTCTAATAAGATGAGAAAAGGCTCAGGCTGAGGTGACCTCCTCCTTATTGATGGCTCTCCTGGATGTTGGGGAGTGAGGTCATAAGTCTTGGATGTTGGAAGGTTATGAGGAGAGGTGCATTTGGTTGTGACATGCCGGGCTTGTCAACATCTGTGCCCCGGGCTCTTGTGGTGCAGTTCAGCAGCTGTGGCGTTTAGTGTAGGGACCCCTAGTGTCGGAACTTCGACCCAACGTCAAAGTGACCAACTGAAAGGGAACGTCTCGGTTACATATGGTAACCTTGGTAGTTAATAAACATTTATTATTATCAATGTTGAAAACAGTTGTGCTGCTTAATGTTTTTGTGGAAACTGCAACATATATTATCTTTACTGTCACATTTGCCCAGTTTAATGAATCCTTGCTGAATAAAAAAATCTGACTGCACTGTTTTGAACGGTAATGTATATATGGATGTGCTTCCCTCAGTGGACTCTCACCCTCTTTAAGAGCAGCACTGAGCAGTACTCCGGCCTGAGGGATGTCTTCAGTGCTGGGCCGTACCAGCAGTCTGGGCTCTGGTCCTATCTCACATCCTCCTGCCATGATATGATAGATGTGTAGCTTCTCCTCCAGATTTGCACAGATGAGGTGATCGTGGCCACACAAAGACTCTGTGAAAGAAGGAGGTTGGTTGTCATGTTTAAAAAAAACTATTATTCTTTAGCTGACACAAATGTGCACAAATAGCTTAAGAAACCACACCTCTCATTGACCACCATTGAAAAGAAACTGTGTATGCTGATGAAATAAAAGCAACATACAAATCTTATGTATTTCATTATATTATTATATGTTTTATCAGTAACAGATTATACTGTTGGCACATACATTGACAAGTCTATTTCATAGTACTATAAGAGCTCTCCAGAAATAGTTAGGGAATGTGAGCATTCTTGAGGTGCCATCACTTCTCACAATCACTTATCAGAATGTCATTTTCTTGCAAATCCACAGTAATGGCCTGCACCACAGAGCAATTTGAGATGAAACGGGATGAACGGGGATGCAAAAATGGATAGATATCGTCAGGTATTATAAATTATATATACATTTCAGCTATTATAAACTATTATCCTTGGGTTCAGCATATCTGGTTGGTTGTACCTTGTAGCCTGTGGATCTTTTGGACCTTTGCTTCTGTGACTCTCCTTTCCTCTTCTGACTCACTTGTAGTTTCATCCTCCTCTTCAGGGCAACTTATCAAACAAATTTGTAATTAGTTCAATCACACACACACAGAGATTTTTTTTCACTCTCAGCTGCCTTTGTAGATAAGAATCAAGTATGACATGTTCACTACACACCTCTCCACAGCCTCTCTGATGAGTCTCATCCAGGCATTTCGTTCATCTTTAGAAGCAGCGTGCACCTCATACATCTCAGGCCCAGCTGAAGACGCGCTGATCAGAAACATGCCTCTCTCCTCATTGGCCACCTCACGCACAATCAGCTTCTGCAGAGAGATCACTGGAGGTTTCTGGTCCTGAGAAACAAAGTAAGTGAGTAAGACAACATAACTAATTATACACACAGTTACATTAAACATCTCATTTACACAAAAACAAACTATCATTCAAGCCACACTAATAAAAGACTAAATCAAATGTATTCCGTGCATACAGATGATTACACCATTACTCAAAAGTGTTGTGTCATTAAGTTAAGTCATAATGCCTTTAAAATCTTTTGAATCCTGAAAATCTCAAAAATGTCAACATTGATAATAATTTTTAAAAAATGGTTCTAGAGTAAATCAGGTTATTATAAATATTTCTGAAGGATCATGTGACACTGAAGCCTGGAGTAAAGCAGAGAGTTCCTCGGGAGCAGGGGTTCAAATGTAAAAAGGGGGAATTTATATACAGAGTAATACCAATTTAACAATAAAAAAAATAAAAATAAAAAAATAAAATAAATAATAATAATAATTATATATATATATATATATATATATATATATATATACACACACATACACACACATATTTATAAAAATAAAGTCCTTCATGTGATCTTGAACTGCTTACACTTCATGTACACTTGGGCTTCATTTAACCAACAATAACCAATAAAATTTAACCAAACAATTAATTTCATTAAACGGTAAACGGTATATCAATATGCAGTACGTAAATAGGAGTAAATTAAACACTACTTACAATAAACGTGACTTCTTCTACTTTAGAAATTTTAGGTTTGTTTAAAAAAAATGAAAAGAGACAGTGGCTACACAGTTTTCAACTGATTTATGAATAAGAGCGGGAAGATACTGATCCACTTGTTTAAGACATGCACAATCTATAGCAAGCAACGCAATAGATTTAAGTAAAAATAAACAGGTATTGTCATAATAATTATAATTCAAATCAATTTTGTTTTATTGACTACAATAACACTGTTGATAATTGTTGAGAGAGGGGCACTTTTGGTTAATTTTGGAAAAAGGGCAGGAGCTTGAGCCCCCAAAGCACCCCCCTCTGCATGTGCCTGAATGGCTGCTGAAAATTCCTAAATAAAATGTGAAAAAATATTAAAATAGTACACCATTATTTTAAATCAAATAAATGCAGCCTTGATGAGTATATAAGACTTCTTATTAACCCAAACTTTTGAACTGTAATGTATGCTTTATGAAGATGAAAATGCATAGTAATCTCAAAAAACCAACCACAGCAGCAAAGATGTATTTCTGATCTTTCTCCTGAAGGAACACCAATGAATCAGACAGCAAAAACGCCAGAACATCTGTGGATGACCAGAACAATCAAATAATGTAGCCAGACCTTTCATCTACTGAGCCAGATAAGAATTAAGCACAAATGGTTGTTCATATGTCCTTTCTATTGACTACTGTGTGATGTATTGTGGCCGTTTTATTGGATAATTAATTTTCTCACCTTTCAGTCTTCCTGTGGCTGTCTTCCAGAGCAGCGGACCCTGGTGCAGCAGAGCTCTTCCACTGGTGATGTCCTGCTTGCGGAAGGTGTAACCACTCTTCAGTTTAGTCGAGCACTTGTTCTCCATGCGGCCCAGGACCTCACTCAGCTTCTGGTTCTGCTCGTACTGACTCACGCGCTGGTCCACAGCGGAGATCAGCTCTCGGATCAGGACTAGTGCACGAGAGAGGTCAGCATGCTCTTCTGTGCCCTCTGAAGCAAAGCACAAGAGAAACTGAGTGTAAACGAATGGTTATGCACAGTATATGTTCGGGTTTGGTTGTGATGTACTGTGGGTGAGGTAAAATACCCTCTGTATATTGCAGGATTCTCTCCAGGAGGACGGGATACTTTGTAATTCGCTGCGTCACTAACAAAATGCATTCTGGGATTTCTCGCCTCTTTACCAATGAGTTGCTACTCTGTTGCTGTGGAACCAAAAAGATCAGATTAACTGAAATTCAGTGCTACCAAAAGCATTCATAATACATCAAAATGCGACTGATAGAGTCATTGATTTGGCTCTCACTTTGATGAAGAGCTGAAATCTCTTATTCTGCTGCTGAAGCTCTTTGAAGTAGCTGACCGCTTCTGTGTGATGACTGCAAAACTCACCATACACCTGCTTCATCTTCTCTGCATTCTCCTGGGAGAACTATGATGAACACAAACACACACCTATGATGTTTCTTATGATGTACTGTACTCTATACTGTATGTACTTGATACTGATACCAACAACACCAGGTGTGGTTGGAACTACAGCTCTCGAACTGTGGTTACAAGCATAGTTTCATGTTAGTGTGACATGTGGACAGTCGTGACTAGCTATTTAATTTCTCCAACGATGCTTTGTACTCTGGTAGTTAGGCAGTCAGTTAGGTAGTTGTATTGTAAATGCCATCCAGACCTGTTTTGTGAACTGCCTCATCTGATTCAATGAAAACTTTTTGACTCAAAAGAATGATTTGTTCAGGAAATGGACATTGCAGCTTTTCTCATGAATGGGCCAAATGGGTGAAATGCTTGGTCATGTTTATGACATAATAACTAATTAAATGGTAACACTTTACAATAAGGTTCCACTTGTTAACATTAGTTAACTACATTAGTTAATATGAATTAACAATGGAAAATAATTATAAAGCATTTTTTAACCTTAATGTTAATTTCAGCACCTGAACTAACATGAACTAACAACAAACAGCTGTATTAACTAACATTAACAAAGATTTAAAAATATAGTAACAAATGTATTGCTTACTGTAAGTAAATGTTAGCTCATTAACTAACATTAACTAATGCAACCTTATTGTAAAGTGTTACGATTAAATTGATCAGGACATTATGTACTCATACAGAAATATATACGACTACTATTATTAATGTACCTGTTGCAGAAAGATGTCACCCACATAGTGAATGAGGTAGTTCTTGCTGCTGTTGGGCTGAACGCAGCTTTGCCGCCGTTCCCTCATCGCTGAAAGGAAGTCACGGTGGAGAAGAAGCAGCTCATCTAAGCAAGGGAAAATCCGAGCAATAGTGTCCGCATCCAGTCCGACTTCTTCCCGCATTCCCCGCCTGAAGACCTCCGCCATTATCATGAGCGTCTGTACATGATGGAGCTCGGTCTGCATGAACTCTGAGTAAGACCAAGAGTACAAAACACTTTCAAATGATGTACAGAATTAATTTGAACAAAACATTTTTAGTGAGTTTCAGCAGACCGTAAATGACATCCTGTCTCTTGATGATGCGTTTTTCTTGCATCTTACAGAACTGGGGCTCCACCGCTAGGCTCCATGACTCCGCCTCCAAATTCACAGCATTCATTACCAGCTCATTCTGTAGGGGGGAATCTACAGTGTCTATGGAGAGGTGGGACACACAAAAGAGCTCTTGTTTTAAAAAGGTCTTAAGGCAAAATTATTGTGTTCTATGTATGTTGAGTTGGGGTAGGAATTTCCGCCATCAAATGCCCAGCTGTTTTACCTTCAATAAGGGAAGAATCAGTGGATGTTGAGGACTCCATGGTTTGGAGGAGCTCCTCTGGTTGAATGTGGTTCCGCCACGGAGGGGCGTCACTATCTGCTTCTGGGCTACCACTAAGCCTGATGGAAAAAAAAAAAAAGTCATAAATGTTCATTACAACAAGGAATGCTAAACACTCTTGTTCATTTCAACAAATACAAACTCTGGCCACTTATGCTGTCTTGGCTTATTGTAATGCCCATCCAAATATTGAATATCCAAACAGTTAAAGTCAAGTTGCAATTATTCACCATTTACAGAGGAAAAAGATGATAAAAGTTAGTCAGCTTGCGTTGAGACTACATACATTTCCATATTATGTCTGAAATTGTCAGACTGAAAATAAATAAGAATGTTGCCGTTATTTTCGGTCAAAAATGTGCCTTTTCACTTTTAATATTTTAATAATCAAACAAAAGAAATCCTCTCATTCAGAGTTGATTTGTAGTATATTGGTGATTGAGCACATCACAGCATATGGGTCATTAACATTTACAATTCATTTATCTAGTTAGTTTTTGGATTGGAATGATACAATTTCCAATTTTTGGAATATTGCAACACAAAGAGTTTCGGACCTTTCTGTGACCGCAGGCACACTTCTAGACAGAGGGCACGGAAGAGGTGTAGAGTCTCGTGATGTCATCACAGGAAGAGAGGCAGAGGTGGGGATCTGAGAGGACGAGGAGGAACTTTCACGCACTATAAAATCTAAGTGTGACAGACAAAAAGGTGAGAGCAAAACCAAGACAAAAGTGTAACTGTCTAAATAAAGCCTCTGTTAAGGAGTTCAATGAGATGATAGCAGGAGTTATATCGATTTTCCTTTACATATTTTATTAAGGTGGTAAAACTCACTCTGAGGGAGGGAGGCTGTCCTGCTTTTTACTGTCATAACAGAATATTTGTCTTGAAGTTTCTGTAAAAGAGAGCATTATAAATATAATTTTTTAAAACTTAATATTACTTCCTCGTTTGATACACTGATTACCAGAATTCAGTATTGTAACAATAGGGCTCATTACAGAGCCTCAGTACTGTGTGTCTGACCAAACATGGGCAAACATGTCTCTAGGTTTAAATATTAAACTTAGGCAATCTATCAGACTTAGATGTAGTTCAAGAGAAAAACAAAACCATGCAATCGCAAGCACAGTCCACCTTCAGGCATGGTGTAGATGAGTCCTTACAGCCCTTATGGACACTCACTGCACAGTCTAAGAGTCAAGAGAAAAATAAACAAATCCGAAGAAATAACATCAATATAAAATACAGAAAAACACCTACTAAATCAACTGGCAGACTTCCAAGACTTTCGAAATTTTCCAAATCACAAAAATAGATCAAATGAAATGACTCATTACATACCGCAATGTTGCAAGAAACACAGTATATCTTTTAAGATTAAAAATACTAGTTTTATTATTTAAAATATTTGTTTCCATTTAAACGAACTCACATGTGCAGTGGAGGACCTCTTTCCCAGAAGCTGGTTTGCTGCAGATCTCACAAAGTGTCGACCCCAGGACAGATCCTGCTGTGAACTGGTGTCCATTGACCTGCTTGTCTTTGGTCTCTCTCTCTTTTCCTTTCCCCTTAAAGAACCAAGGGAAAGCCATCAGATCACTGACAGTCCACATCACCATCTGCCATGACTGCACATTAAACTCAACGTTTTCATCTCTACATGCTTTCTGCTTATTAAGTTAGTCTAAGTCTGACATGCTTGTGTGGCTAAAAAAGGCCATGGGAGAGTTTGCTGCTGGTAAAACAGTTACAGTCAAAAGGTTTAATGATTAAAAGAGACACCTCTGGTTGTTTTTGGGTCTAACAATCAGTCTTTAGTCTCTTTTTTATCCATCCTGAATGGCTATTAAAGGATACTGTGTGCAAAAACCAGGAAGAAATAGTTAAGTTTTCAAAGAAAAAAAAAGCATTGTATAAAGTAACATGTATTGTATAACGTAACTTGAGTAAGACTACAAACCGAAGTTTAAGATTTTAACATACTGCTTATATGTAATATTGTAAAATATTATTACAATTTAAAATAAATGTTCTATTTTAATATTTTAAAATGTATTTTTTTTTCTCCAAGTAACATTTCTTATTATCAATTGTGGACACCGTGATACTTGTTTTATTTCAGAATTCTTTAATGAACTTTAATGAATGCTGTTTTTGTGCTCAAAAAACAAACCTAGACAGTTCTAGAAAGTTCAAAATAACAGCATTTGTCTGAAATAGTAAAAGCATTAATAATGTTACAAAAGATTTAGGTCACTTTTGATCAATTTAATGCATCCTTGCTGAATAAAAGTATTATCTAACTGACCCCAAATGTTTTGAAAGGCAGTGTATAAATATACATAACATGTATGTATGTTTACCTTGTTCTTGTTGCGAGTGCTATACATTCGGCTCTTTATAAAGCTGAATGTGCGACTGACTTTGTATTTTTCTGACTCTGTTTTGGAAGGGATGATATATTTGTCCCATTCCTCTTCCTCAATCCTGAAACACAAACGCCCGCTTAGATTATTCACCTGGTGTGCACTATAATCACAAACACATGCCTGTCCAGTGAGCGTTTAATAACAACACAGCTTTTACTTTCAGACCATGATGCAGTGGCTGGGTGGTTTCATTAAAGGGTTAGTTCACCGGAAATAACATGACAGTCAGCGGAAGTGAGAGAAAAGTGTTTATTACATTTGAAATATGGATATTTTTCTTACAAAAACTCATGGATTCGCTACTGGGGGCCTTTATTCATCGCCCGGAGCGGTCTGCGGCACGTTTTTATTATGAATGCGCATGCTTTATTTGACGACTTGTGGACTGTTCAACTGCAACACCCGCTGAGTGCCATTAAACAGCTTGAAAGATCAAAGACAATTTTTAATATAACTCCGACTGGATTCGTCTGAAAGAAGAAAGTCATATACACCTAGGATGCTTCAAGGGTAAGTAAAACACAAGCTAATTTTCATTTTTGGGTGAACTAACAATTTAATGCATTTGTTTCAGACTAAGTCATGCATTATTTTCCTGGTGGCAGGAAAATTAATAATTAGTCATCACCCTCTGTGCCATAAATAATTAGGACATACCACCTGAGCAGTGCGGACATTCTCTGCATTTCACACATACCTGATTAGAAATCTTTGCTTAGTGGGAGGTGAGTTGTGAGACAAGGACCACAGTTAGGTTCACAAACAGTGTTATTACATATTTTAGTGTCGACAGAGTGAAGTGACAGCATCATTTGGAGTTTTACGCAAACGTTAAGAAGCATTAGACATGATTTCATGCCAGTGGGTGACAGTGCATTCTGGTTAGGTTATTAAGACGATCATGCCAAGTGTGTTGTTGGTGTTTTGGGGCTATTGGGGCTCTGTATTGACATACTCTTTGAGGAATTCGGAGAGCGTGAGGTGTTGGAGGGAGTTGGCCAGCTCTGCACTGGTCTCATCGTCAGCCGACTGAGCACGCCTACGAAACCTTAACTCCCTATAGAGGTACAGTACAGCACTCTGAGTGTTTATACACACAGCAGATACACGCATTTACATTTTAATGTATCCACACACACATATTGTCTCTAGAGGGCGCTATTGTGCTTTGCTGTAAAAAAAAAAAAAAAACTGAGAAAAACGAACTGTGGGGAATTAAAAAAAAATCGTTGAAAAACATGATATATGATGATATATGAGCTGCAATACAACATACAAAGGGATCTTTTACAGAAACTGTATGTCAGTCACCAACTATTACATGCATATCTTTGTGTCCATTTACATGAACGTGTTTTGCTCATTAAAAAAAAAACACTATCAAACAGCATTCACTTTGGAAAGGTTGACCTATGAAAAGGCGCCACATCCTTTAAATCAACAAAAAGCACCCTGTCACCTGGCAACCATGTTGTCAGGGACACTGGAGAATTCTTCTTAATATAGTTTTATTCTCTGGTTAATACCCAATACAGGGATCAGTGGAGATGACAGGTTGTTAGAGGTCTGCATTACCTTTTCTCTTGAGGCTGCTCGGATGTGCTGCAGGCACGATGTTCTGTGGAAAAGAGAATATAGGTGCTGATTATAGCCTACTTTAATAAGATTATACTCTAAAATTGGGGTTTTATCATTTAGGTTGCTTCTGTCAAGACCACTTTTTGATGGCTTTTTAAATACTCCTAAAGAAACATCTTTGAGAACTTACAACAGGTTTGCTTACTTGATAAACAAATTCATCTAAAAATTGATGACACAATCCTTCCTTTCCAGCAACATCTTATCAAATAATGATGAAACCCCTTGAGGGTGAAGGCAGACGCACTGCAATTAGGCTTCCACAACCAGCGAGCAAAGCCAAGCCATGGAGATTTACACCCTCACGCATACTGTACACACACCAGACCAGTGTTGTTATTGTTAACGGAAACTAAAACTATTAAAAGCGTTTTTAGATCATTTAAACAAAACTGACATAAAATAAAATATAAATATTAGATGAAAAATGTAAACATAAAAAAATTAAATCACTGAAATTAAAAATAAAGTTTGAGTTCAAGAAAATAAATAAAAATAAATCAATTGAAATATTTTAATAGCAAATAGCAAAATTACAAAAACTAAAATGAAATGAAAACTGAAAATATAAAAACAAAAGCCAATTCAAAAATTAATAAATACTGAAATATAAATAATAATAAAATGACACTGACCCAGACACATTATACATAGTACAAACACAAAAACCCATCCATTTTCAGAAATCACTTTATCACATATAAACACACAGAGTGCTTTCAGCAGCAGAAGTGTTGTGCTATGTTGTTAGTAGCGTGCGGCGTAAGAGGTGAGCGAGCAGGCTTGGCCGTACTTACTAACAGGGTTGAGCAGAGATAGAGATTTAGACAGAGACAGTCCCTGTAGGAGAGACCTGCTGCCACTGCTGCTGGAGCGGGCGCCATCTACAGGACACAGCGGACATGACACTCACTAAAGCCCGGCACTACTCTACACATACAGTATCTCACAGAAGTGAGTACACCCCTCACATTTTTGTTCAGTGTTGTCACATGAAAAGATATAATAAAATATTTACAAAAATGTGAGGGGTGTACTCACTTCTGTGAGATACTGTGCTGGCTTTGAATGGAAGGATTTGCATAAATTATGAAATGTTATAGCAGAAACAGCCAAAATCAGGTGATTTGATTTGATCCTCTATTCATGATGCCTGGATCATCAAACAGCAGCACATTTTGGCTGTGTCTCAAAACCAAACATTCAAACATGCCTGTCCCTGCTGGAAAATCCAACTTAAGCAGGCAGCTGAGTTATGAAACATGGTAGGTTTTATTTAGCTGGTCATTAGCTGTTCATAAGCTTCACTGTCGGCTGGACTACAAGCTTCAACGTTCCAAAAACCAGCTTAACCATTTGAAGCTGGTTAGATAATGTAGTAGATGGATTGCTGATGGTTTACATGCTTAAGAACAGTTTAGACCAGCTATCATGTAGAAAGAACACAATTACAATCTTGAATTGGTGTTTTTAGCAGGGATGATGCCCAAAAAAAAGCTTACTTGGTTTTGAGTATATTTGTTAGTAGTGTGTCTGTTCACTACAGTTTTGTTAGTGACTATGAAACATGCTTCTAGCAACTTATGATCAAGTGTAAAGGCTATTACGTTCAGCTGTTATATTATATATGTTGGTGTCCAGAAATTATTTTACAGAATTTGGAACCAGAAGGAATATCATCAGAAATTTCCGATAAACATTAATAATCTACTAAAAAGCCTTGGATTAAAGGGATAGTCCTACATCTTGGATGCCCTGGGGGTAAGCAGATAAACATCAAATTGAAAGTTTTGGGTGAACTAACCCTTTAATGGAATAGAACAGGCTTGATGATGCTGCCAAATGACATTCAGCAGCATTAACTGCCACAGACAATGGTAATTATTGGGAGATACTCTGAGTCGCTGGATGTTAATGAATGCAGATCATTTGAGGGCATTACACACAAGCAAAATTTTGTAGTTGTACACCATTTTTAAAGAGATAAAACAACTGATAAAAAGGAGATCATAAGCTAAATACTGCCATTTTTAGCTTAATTTTCGTGACACAGTAAGAAAGAAGGCCTGTTTCACACTGCATATGTAAGCAGTGCATAATTAAGGCAGAAGCGTGACTGTAACAGCACTGTGTTCTGCTTTTACACTGACAGTGTTTCTGCAGCATAGCAGAGCTGCAGCTCTTCAAAGAAAATAAAAACTTTTCTGGGTTGCCACATTGAATATTACGTTGAAGTAACTTCTAAATCATTATTGGGAGTGTCTGTGATTGTGAACTTGACCATTATTAAATATAATTGACATTTTTTGTAAAGTAAAATTTGCTTGATTTACATCCAAATGGAAATTAATCTACACAGAACAGAACACAAACCCTAAAGTACAACAATAAACCACTTAACTGATCTGGATTTTGATTTAATGCACAATGCACTGTGTGAATGCTTTAACCATTAGGGTCTGACATAAACATGCACTGCTTACGATTACAGTGTGACGGGGTGATGTGACAGTGTCAAACAGGTCATATATAAATAAATGTTCTGATCTTGCTATAAAAAAAATTTTTTAATGAAAAAGATTTTAAATGAGTTACAAATCCTATCATCCCTTAAAAGCTCATCATGCTTAAAACAGACTAGACAGGAAACGAGTGCTCAGTCACCCAGCAATGAGAGGAAAGAATCAGATGATGTTTTCAGAAACTTGATATGCGATATAAATATCTCAGAATAAAAGGACTTTTGTGTATGCCCCGTGATTCATATTTGACTTGACTTCCTGTCACCTGACCCTGCAAAATGCTAACCTTGGCAAAAACACACATCATTTGGGACAAAGGGTAAATTAAGTGAGAGGTGTAAGGTGAAAAGTGAAAGGATCTGACCCTGGTTGAGGTCGGTAGGTGGAGGTTGGGCATCCCTACTAAATCGTGGAGGCAGCAGGCTGATTTTGGGGGAGGTGTAGGAATACGAACGGAGACGGATGCCCTGCTCAATATCCTGAAAAAATAAATAATTAACATTTTCACTGAGTTTCCATCTCACAGTGCTCACAAATGTAGTAATGACCATCATGTGTAGTAGCTGTAGTCAGATATCTGTATCTGTGCATAGTTTGCCTCACTCTAGGGAACCAGGAAAATAGGTGTGGTACCTTTGCAGGGGTGGGGTTACAGGCAGAGGAGGCGGAGTGAGAACGCGTGCAGGTAAGATCAGGGGCAGGGCCAAATATAACCCGATCATCTGCACTGTTTTTGAGCTCAGGCTGTGGCTGGGGGAGGGGCTTCTTCATTAAAATGTCATCATCATCCTCCTCGCTGTCCATTTCCAAGGCCACCAGACTCGGGCTTAGAGAGAGGATTGGACTTCTAAAAATTCTCAACAACCACTGTGAGTAAGACGAGCATCACTTACATTTTGTAAATAATTCATACATTTTGTGTTTGGCACAAACGCTCCTCCAACTATGGGGAAATATCACAGCAATATCACAAATGTTTTAAATCATGGAAACATTTTTTAAACTGATTCTGGGCTTTTGCATAAAAGCTGCATTCCTGCTTTATAAGGCAAATGCATCCAGAGCCAGGTAAAGCCTGGGTTTGTTTTTTGTTTGTCTGTCTAGTTTACACACTGTCACAGTTCTTCTACCACCCAAGTTTTAAAAGGTCTAAGTGGTGCCCAATACAGTACAAATTTATGTTATTGTACACAAGTAAACAAAATGTCCTTAAAATGTTTTCCCAACAGTGATGGGTTCATGCTCTCAGCAGCCAAGAATTCATTGCGCAAAACACATGTGGTCGGCACAAACCATGTTTATTCTCGCTGTAAGTGAACCTGCATTTAATGTATGAGTTATTTTCTCATGTCACGCAAACTGTGCCTGATTTGGCTACTTCAAATAACTATGAAGTATAAACCGAGGACATAAACTACTACTCAAAAGTTTGGGGTTGGAAATTTTTGGGAAAGAAATTGATACTTTTATTCAGCAAGAATGCATTAACTTCATCAAAAGTGACATTAAAGACATTTATAATCCTACAAAAGATTTACATTTCAAATAAATGCTGTTCTTTTGAACTTTCAAAAAAATCATGATTTCTACAAAAATATACAGTTTTCAATATTGATAATAAGAAGAAATGTTTCATGAGCACCAAATCAGCATATTAGAATCATTTCTGAATGATCATATGACAGGGAAATATATGTTAAAGTGTTTTTTTCCCCATACATGCAGCCTTGGTGAGCATAATATACTTCTTTCAAAAACATTAAAAAAAAAAAAATCTTACCAACCCCAAACGGTAGTGTATAAAGTGTACAGTGTCAAATTTCAAACACCACCTGCTATTAACTGACTGTCACAACAAAACATCAATGTCAGCATGCTTACCTTAGGTCACATGGCTCTGTAGGTGAGCTTGAGCTGTCATATGTCAGTTCAGCAGGTCGTGTGGCACGCATGAGTCTATCCAGCATCAGTCCCGCTGGAGTGGTGGGAGAGAAAGAACGAGAAGCATGCTGCCGTCCTCTCTGACCTTCATCATCTTTAATAGCTGGAGGCATATCTATAGTCCCTGGTGACAAGACCTCCGTATCTGACATTGGCCACACACCACTATCTGTCCCAGAACTGTCCTCTGTGACACTTGTAACAGCGTACTTCATATTGAGGTCATTGTCCTACATCAGAAGAGAAAACAAACAAATATTTAATGTACTAAGAAAATGACAAAAGTAATGTAGTGATTTACTAGGGTTAGTTCACATAAAAATTTAATATTTTTCTCACCCTCATGAAAAATGAAAAAACCTGTACCTTACTTTCTTCTGAAAAAATGTTCAACCATTTTTGTCCATACAGTGAAAGTCAATGCGGTGCAAAACATTACTGGTCCCCGCTGACTTTTGTATGCACAAAAAACACTGAGACATTTTCCAAAATATCTTTTGTGTTAAACGGAAGAAATAAAATCATACAGGTTTGGAAGGACATGAGGGTGAGTAAGTGATGACACATTTTTTTGTTTTGGGTGAACTATCCATTACACAAAGCCTGGCGTCTCATAAACACAGTGCCTTGATTCATGTCAAACTAAAGACTTCTGTGGCAGTTGAAGAGTTGTGGCTTAAGATTCAGGCTACAATGTGCCAAGATCAAATAAAGACTTTCCCCAAGACTTTCACAGAGATCAATCACAAGATAAAGGCAGTAAAGTGAAGGGAGGAGATGAGATTTGGATGAAAAATGTTACAGCTGAGTGTCTGTAGATCTGGCATACTGAGTGAGCTGATTTGTAGGAGTAGCGATATGTGTGGCGTCTGACCTTAGCGGAGCCTCTGAGCATGGCCATGAGCCTGACGGCAGCAGTGTCTGAGGAACTGAGGTGAAATGGAGTGCAGGAGCCAGGAGAGGAACACAGTTTCTCTGTCAAAACAAAGCACACTGTCAAATTGATGTGTGTGTGTCAATACAACTGGATGGAAATGCAGAGTCAGTGATATTTAAAAGTTAACTAATAAAAACAATAATGTGAATAACAGCTGTCACTTTACATTCTGCTGCCTTTGTTCTGTTCTCTGGAAAATTTTGTGTGTGTGCGTAAGTGTTTTGACAATCTCTGAATGCCAAGATGGCAGAAGAAACCAGTAAAATTGAAAATAGAAAATAGCACAACAGCACGGTCTCTTTATGGCCGGTGAATTTTTATTTTTAAGGAGGCTTTTGCTTTCCTTTTGCACAGTTAACTCTATGTGTCTCTGTGCATTTATCCAAAAGAGATCCAGAAAACTATTTTTGGAGAATATAAAAGATTTATATTTCAAATAAAAGGCTGTTCATTTGAACTTTCTAGAAATATTTCTTGAGCACCAAATCAGCATATTAGAACGATTTCTGAAGTATACTAGTCTGTGACACTGAAGACTGAAGTAATGGCTGCTGAAAATTCATTTCTAAAATAGAAAACTTATTGTAATATTTCACAATATTACTGTTTTTACTGTATGTTTAATTCAAATAAATGCAGTCTTGGTGAGCATAAGAGAGCATAATTACTTCTCACACAGTATCATGTACATTTATAATTATTCATTTAGCAGACACTTTTATCCTTTTACTTTTACCACTTCTATTTATAATTTTAAAGTGATTTAGAAATGAGGAATACAACAAAGTGACCAACTTGTTAAGCAAATCTGCTATTATCTTAAATACATATCTGAACTCCATTAATACATCATAAACTATGAAGAAGAAACCTCTGAATAATAAATTATCTTCTGGCCAAACACACAAAATTTGTGGTCCCAATGCAGTCAAAGTGGCGCAGTGTGTAAAGAAAATAGAAGAAACAGACATTCAGCCTCTCACACAAACTTGGAATGACCTTTACAGCTATGTGCAGAAACACAAACTTACACATGTACCTATCCATTCACATGACAAAAACTTCCACCGACATTGTCAAACAAACACAAACACATCAAGATTAAATGTTCAAGGGAAAGGTATGTATTTGTTGGCACATGATCATCTATCTGTGTGTGTCTTGGTAAAGATGAGTGTGTATGTTAAAGTGTTCACACACACACACACGCACGCACACACACGCACACGCGCGCACACACACACACACACACACACACACACACACACACACACACACACACACACACACACACACACAACTTACTCATTCAGATAACTTAGTGAATCACACATCTCCAGGAAACCCAAACGCAGGGCTCATGTGTGCTGAATCCCCATTAAACTCAAAAGAAGATCTAATGGATTTGTAATACTAACACAATAGCTGTTTTCCAAAAGCTGGATTATGCAGTTTTGCTTTCAAATGAAACACTCACTCACTTAATTTGACCTGTGACAGGCAGTTAAGTTTTTCCTTTATACCCTTGTCTGGATTGTACCTCTGACTACAGCATTTTTGGTCAGGATATTACACCACTGTAATATCCTATCAAAAACATCTCACTGCAAGCCTGGCTCAAAATTCCCATTGTACAGAACCAGAATCAGCTATTTGAGCTCTGACTCATTGCTGAATTAAGCCTGTAAAGCTGCCCTGCACCACAGACCAAAAACAATTGACAAAAACACACAAACTAAAGTCATGTGAGTCAACCAAAGACTTTTATTCTGTGTATGTTTGCTTTCCTCAAGCATTATGTATGTGTCTTTGTTGCATGCATCATTCGTACAGACCGGTTCTCTCTCTCTGTCTCTCTCTCTCTCTCTCTCCATTACTCTCAAGTTACCTGCTTTTGATGTCCGTCTCCGGATTCTCATCTTTGTGAAGGATGGCCATGAGTAGTTAAACGGAGAGTCTGAATCAGAGTCCATGTTTTTAATTTTCCTCAACTGCTCCGTTTTGTGAAATACATAACAGTAAAATCAACAAGGAGTTACGCAAGAGTTTGAGAACACCTATCTAAAAAATGCAGATTCCTCAGATAAGCATTGAGGAGATGAGTCCGCGAGTGTTTGTGTGCGTGTTGGAGAAGGTGGGCTCAGTCTTGACACTCTATACTCCCACTTTTTTTGTTGCAGGCAGAGTCAGGACTCAAACTGGACCTGGGAGAGCACGACGGAGGGATTTTCAAACTAAGGTGTCTGTAGGAATCTGAAAGGTCAGCCAAGGTTTAGGAATCATTAACCATAAATGCTAATAAAACCCCACGAGGTCCTGGGATGCAAAAGGACACACACCTCCTCTTAATCTTTATAAACAAATAATAAAGCAAACTGCAATTTCAACGTGGAACAAATCACCATAATTATTTTTTCATAAATTCATGATGCAAAGCAACCTAATTTGTAATGCAACTTCTCACAGGCAGGAATGAGTCATGTATCGCCTCAAAAACAGTACAAGGGTGGGCCAAACTGACTTGCAACAAACATTAATTAATTTTAATAACAATCCCAAGCCAATCCCAGAGTGGTGGCCCACAGTATAATCTAGAACATGTTCTAAAATCTCTATTTAAAAAATGACATTACTGAAAAATCGACACTAGTCATGCTGAGCTGATAGCTAATGATAACTAAAAATATATCAGTAATATTATTGTACCTGTATATAATAAAATATCAATTTATATTAACATGACATTGAAATTAAACTGCAATCTGCAACAAAATAAAACCTAAACCTAGAAAAAACCCAGCCCCTCACAGATACAAATTAACACCAAATCAACCTCAAATCCCATAAAGTCAATCCTACAAAACCCAACTATACAAAAAGTACCCCACTTAAATTCAACCGCACAACTGAATCTGACACAGACCCAATTCACAAAATCAAACCCACTGAAATACAACACAAGCTCAACAACACACAGTGAGTCTACTAGTTAAAAAGCCAAGTCACCACCAGCCAGGAACTTTTAAAAAGCAGTATTACAGCCAGGTGTGTGTGTGTGTGTGTGTGCCTGAGACGAGATGGATTGCTCTCTGCATGTGGTGGACATTCAGTCTCTGTTAGCGAACCACTCAGTGTATGTATCCATCCTTCAGCGGGAACATGTGCTCCAGTAATCCAAACAGCAGACTCATTCAGTTCTCCAAAGGTCTCAAAAACCAACAAAAGACTTTTATTTCACAGGTTAGGATTTTGAAATGGTACCATAAGTCTGCTGCAACTCAATAATTATATATGTCTGTGTGTAGCTCTTTAGAAAATCCTCCTTATGAAGACAGATCTCCTGATAGGTGAAGGTGAGTAAACAAAAATGTCAGATTTAATTCCTTTTTTCTTATATCCTTTCATCCGTGTTCATATTCCTTTACTTCTACAACAGCGAAATTGTCCATTCAGTTTAAATAGAGACCTCCAAAAGAGTTTGCTTCCAGTCGGCCTGCTCTTTTCTGTGGAGTGTGACTGTTTTAGTCTCTCATGAAATATGGGCTCTCTCAACCCCAGATTTCTCCTCCCTCTGCCTTTCTCAGAGTTCTTAGTGGCTAACCGTCTGCGTGTGAGAGACTGAGTTTGTGTTTAAAACGAGAAAAAAGGAAATGATAGCTCAATATAGCTCAGATTATGAGAATGGGTTGCATATGTGAGTGTGAATGAACAAATGAATAAATATTCTTTTAATCATTATCATGGGCAAGTACTTTTCAAACAAGATTATTTTAGGAAATGAATACAGAATCATGCTACACTTATTACAGAGAAGATCAGCTCAAGGTTGATCAACCCAAAGTCATTTAACAAAACTCAAGGCATTTTCATCTTTTGTGTGGTGCAATTTGTTCATTTTAACATTTAATTTAATTTAAAATGTACTACTTTCCTACATTTTCTTTCCTTAAAAATAAGAAAAAAATCATGAGATTAATCACAATTATTAGTCTTTTTTTTCTAGGTTTAACCAAATAAATCTATCCAAAGACCCCTAAAACCTACAGAAATAACCCCTCAGGTAACACAGACCTGTTTGGGAAGCATTTTGCTACATGAACAAGGTAACTGGGAGAAATCAGTGAGAGCATCTGTATTACGATGAGGAACACGTTCTGTGGGATGGGCTAAATTTTAAAGCATCATCTTAAATGTCAGCTTTTGTGCAAGTTCAAAAATCTAAGCTTGTTAACATTCCTGCCTCGATTTTACAGTTGAAACTGTGAATGTGCATGTCTGTGTGAGAGGGTAGTTGGGTTGAAGGGGCCAAAGCTGTTTCAAAAGAAAAGAGTTCTATCTTCTGTCCTTCCTTGCCTATAAATCTTCCTATCTTCCTCAAAAAAAAAAAGAAAAGAAAGAAAAACTAAAAATTGCACTTTTTGAATCAAGGACAGCAGATCCATAAGAGCAATGGCAGCGTCTGAAATCCAGAAGGCACTTTTTCCCCTTGAGCAACAATGACATGAAACTAATCAATGAACACTGAACAGAAGGTCTGCACAATTTCATTTAGATGGAAAATGAGTATGTTCCGTTGCCAGCGCCTGCTGCTTTGTACTTGAAATACACTGAGAGAATGATTAAAAACACAAGATGTCTGTTTTGAATGAACATGATTTTGCTCTAACCTCAAAGAATACTCTTAAATTAAACGCGTTCCTGTTCCTTCTTTCTGCTACTCCTTTGGCCAAACTGATGTAACTGCACTGAGGTAAATTAGGTTAGCATCAGTCCAATAAGACAATTCATGACTTTTCCATATTCAATAAGCCCTTCTCATGCATGCAAGTACATACACAAAGCATCAGCAGTCAACATCAAATTTTCTTGTTGATGTATTGTTTACATATAAGAACTTTGTAGGCCATTAAATATTTATCTATAGTCCAATCAATACGTCTGTTGAAACAAAGCTGAAAAATTGGCTTGTACCGTACATTTCTGACATCAGAAATCCAACATGACACATGACCAGCCACCTTTCCATACTCAATTCCATAATCTCAACTCCAGCATCATAAATACTCTGTTCAAAACCCAGTCAGCTCCTTATTAAGATACACTAAGCAACTTAATTATGCTGCCTGCTATAATCACTTCTTTTGGACAAAGGTTAGGGTTAGGATATATTACTATATTATTAGACAGCATTCCAATGCACCATAATGGCCTCCAACAAGCTCAGTGAGAAATTAATTTCAAGATGGCACTACGAAAAAAATGTTGATTATTTAAAAAAACACACATTAAAATTAGTTATTTTACCTAATTTGTTTGCTATATATTTTTATCCTTATTACAGTATCACACTGTTTGCTTAGCAACATGTTAACATCACAGTCTATTGTACTTAACCTCCAGCGTAAAACACTATTTGAGTTGCTGCAACTGTAGAGTGTTCCAAACCGTTCACTTATGAGGTTCCACGACCAAAAATGGTTATGAAAATTAAATGTGTTTTCAGTGCAACTACATTACAGCTACATTACTGTTCAAAAGTTTGGGGTTGGTAAGATTTTTTAATGCTTTTGAAAGAAGTCTCTTATGCTCGCCAAGGCTGCATTTATTTGATCAAAAATACAGTAAAAACAGTAACATTATGACATTTTATTACAATTTAATATAACTGATCTTTATTTTAATATATTTTAAAAAGTAATTTATTTCTGTGATGGCAAAGCTGAATTTTCAGCAGGCATTACTCCAGTCTTCAGTGTCACATGGTCCTTCAGAAATCATTTTAATATGCTGATTTGGTGCTCAAACAATTCTTATTATTATTGTAGTGGTGCTTAATATTTTTGTGGAAACTGTGATGCATTCATCGTATTTGTTTTTTTATATAAAAAAAAAGTTCAAAAGAAAAGCATTTATCTGAAATAGAAATATTTTGTAACATTATAAAAGGTCTTCACTGTCGCCTTTGTTTTTTTATTGCATCCTTGCTGAATAAAATCTATTCCTTGGACGTATGCATATGTACCTGAGTTAAATGTGTTTAGATCTTCATCCTCTTCATCCAGACAGAGAACAAGCTGTTCTTCAAAGACCTGAAAAACAAAACGATGAAAACACACTCACACACGACAATTCAATCGTTTTCAAGAACGAAAACAGACCAAAATAAGAACGCAGGCATGAACATCTGTCCATTAGCAAAGAGAAAAACACTACAAGAGCACATATGGCAGGTCTGAAGAAGACTAAGTGATCCATTATTGTGTTTCTGATTCCAGGAATTGACTGAGACAGACTCACGCACAAAAATAACTCCACTCACACTATCCACCAGGGTTTCATCCTCGATTCTCAGTTGGCTATTCAGATCTGAGGAGCAGAAACAACAAATGAAAATTGATTTCCACTCGTATGCAATTGCAAACTTGAGCACAAACAAGCCTTTCGGTTGGAAAACCGAGACACCTATCACCATGGTGAGCAGTGACAGGAAGTGTCTGAACATTAAGTTCACAGGGTCACAGAGGCTAAACCCGCTGAGGCTCCTGCTGTCAACACAGCAAGCTTGCAATTTCTCTGTGTCTCTTAATAGCATTTACATCATGCCATTTTTTCTTGATCAGTCGAACTTGTAGGCAGATTATTTCTCTCATTTTGTCCTCTCTTAGCCCTCCCAAACATATAGTGTCTCTGTCTCTCGGCCCACCCAGGAGGAATGCGTCTCCTCATACTGGACATGTTTGGGAAACCAGCCGGAGGTCCCTCACAAAGACTGCTCTGTGTATGTGTGTGTGTATTAGTGTATGTGTACTCCTCATCCCACATTCTACCACAATGTCCTCCTGACTGAGCCAAATTCACCCAATGTACTCTAACAACCCTGCCAGACCTAACTCACAGTGACAGAGAGAGAGAGAGAGAGAGAGACAGAGAGAGAGAGAGAGAGAGAGAGTCGGTGTGGGGAGAGCTGGGGTCATGTAGAGGGAAAGGAGAGTGAGAGACAGACAAAAAGAAAAAGTGGAATAACAGAAGGAGGACTGAGGGTAAGTGAGAGCCACAAGAGAAGAAAATTGATCACAACAGCAGGATGAAACGTGATAAGACCTTGGCGAGAGCAAAATATAGAATGACTATGACTTTTAGTCATAAAATAAACCCAAGACAGGAGACAGGAGGAATAAAATAAAGTGAAAAATAATAAAAAGACCATTATGGCCAGGATTGATCTTGTGGAGTTTGAACTCTCACCACACGGCTTATATCTAATTTCCAGAAACCCACAAATATCAGTTGAAATCCCAGATTGCAGCTGAACATTTTAGTTTAACAGTTCATTATTGCTAACATGGGCAAAAAAATTGACAGATATTTTAGTCTGTGTATTGAGGTAAAACACATTGAAATGAGCTCTGGTTTATTACCTGTGTCACATACATCAGATCTGCACACGCTTCCCTCACTCAGTCGCCCCACCTGTAATGTGTTTTACACTGTCAGCTCTGATATAGAATCACATGTTTTTGTGTTTGACATCATTTGAAAAATCTCATTTTGATGAACTCTTTTAACTCTATTTTAAATTAATACTTTTATTCAGCAAGGATGCAATAAATCAAAAGCAACATGAATAAATTACATTTTAAAACATATTAAAATAGAAAACTGTAATGACAGTTAAAATATATATATTTTTCCACAATATTGCTTTTTTTACTGTATTTTTTATCAAATAAATGCATTCTTGATGAGCATAAGAGACATCTTTCAAAAACTTTTTTTTTTTTTTTAACTTGCCAACCCCAAACTTTTAAATGGTACTTTACATGTACTTCTTAAACTATGTATAATTATTACTTATGAAAACAGTTTTGAGAAACCTCACAGGTACATAATTTACAGCACTTGTAATCTCTCTGCTGATCTTGTTCTGTCTGCCAACAGTTGTTATATGAGAAATACCAGTCTGCCACTCAAAGCAATATCTGTAAACAATACTGTAAACTGCAATAAAAGTTTCCAAAGTTATGACTTTAGTCATTTATAGACTTGTAAAACTGAAAGTTAGAGAGAGGGGTGGACAGCTGAGAGGTGTATTTCAAATTGGGGATTATTTCACCTGGAATTTTATAATACTTTCTTTTCCGTAACATATGGTAAGCACATAAAATATTTATTCCATTCTAAAATTAATATTACCCATATATTTACTCGGAATATACAACTAATTTTGAGTTCTTTTGAATAACTGCTAATAGAGAAAGATGATTTTGGGGTGCAGATGGTGTAGTTACAGCATTTACCAGCAGAGGCTAACAAGTCTAACCAGCTGAACCCTGAACCTTTGAACTCAATCACCAGCAAATTGGGGGAGTGTTTGAAATTTGTATTCAGAAGCTGTTTAAAAACAGTCATCAGTTTTTCAGTTATGTTCTGTAATGGCGTAGAAATTATACAGTTTACTTTTAACTGGTAAAACTTTATAAGAGCAAAAAGCAGAAAATAATCATAAAAGCTTACAGTTAAGCTTAGTCAAAAATCTATGTAATTTTCTATTCCTTATACACTGCTTTTTTAGGCAGAGATTAAACAAAGTCCAAGATCTTCAGAGAGTCACAAACAGTGAAAATCAAACAAAGAAAGTTTCCTTGAAATTTGTGTTAAAGGGGTCATATGATGTTGCTAAAAAGAACTTTTGTGTATTTGGTGTAATGAAATGTGTTTATGCGGTTTAAGGTTCAAAAAACACATTATTTTCCACATACTGTACATTATTGTTTCTCCTCTATGCCCCGCCTTTCTGAAACACGTCGATTTTTACAAAGCTCATCGGTCTGAAAAGCGAGGTGTGCTGTGATTGGCCAGCTATCCAGTGCGTTATGATTGGCCAAATACCTCAAGCGTGTGACAGAAATGTTACGCCCCTTACCATACTGTGATGATGCCCTGTCAGGCCGGAGCGATGATTCAAAAACATGAAAACCCATTATAAACGAGGCATTTGTTGCATCCAGTGGGGACCAAACAAAGTAGTTTCGCTTTCACAACGAAACACACAGCGCCTTCATGACATGGCGGCGGCAACAACAATACTACAGCAAAAATAAAAGATACACCTTCTTTCTTTGCGTGAACATTTGGGCGGCGTTATGCAAATCTTCCCACATCGTGACGTAGATATGTGGGGGCGTGTTAGAACGAGCCGTTTTAGGTAGGCGTGGCTGACTCTTAACTTTTATAAAGAATATCTCTTTGGATTTGAGACTTTAGTCTTTGCAACTTTACAGATCTTCTTTATGCACCAAGAGCTTGTAACACTCCAAAGAGAAAGGAAAAATTGAAATCGCATCATATGACCCCTTTAATGGGTGTCCACGCCTGTATGCAAATGCAGACTCACCCTTGCAAGTGTATCCGATGCTCTGCTCTTCTCTCTGTATAGCTCGATGCTGTGTGGTGCATCTATCCGTATACCGTTTTTCACAGTCAGACTAATAGATTCGGTGACAGGGCAGATACGGAGCTGGTGAGAGCCGTCAGTCCATATCTGACACATCCACACTGGCCTCCACGCACTGCTTTTTTTGGGACTGATAATAACACAGTCATAAGACACATTAAACTCAGCCCTACTGTACGCTATATCAATGACTGAGGTGACACATCAGTGATTAATGGATCTTTTTCAGATGTAATCTAATTAGTATAGTGCATTGTGTCAGGCTGGACGGAGTGACTCACTTTGTTAGAGCGCTGATGAGCGTCGGGTCTCTGTGCATCTGAGCCAGTGTGAGAGGACTATGTCCTTCCTTGTCGACGATGGGAATCATCCTCTGACCTTCTGACTCCTGGAGGAGGAAGTGACTGAGGTGGGGGAACCCCAAAATCATGGCCACATGTAGAGGCATTTTTCTGGAAAGGAGATCTAAAAGAGACAGAGAATGATAAGCGATCAGACTTGGAAAAATAATGTACAGCTTTATTTTTCCCCAAGTAATTTTTTTTCCAATTAAGAAAGGCAGATTATATTTCTATTTTAACTTTCTATTTATTTCTATGTATTCATTTCCCAGTTTGGGAGAAATTAGCTATTTATAAGGTGTACAGCTATAAAAGGAGTTGTAGTATGTGTGGAAATGATATTGTGATTTGAAGAGAGTTTGGCATGCTTTTCAGTGATGCACGACAAAGTTCTCTTTTATTCCACCCACAGATTTAGTCCACTGCGTAATATTTATTTTTCAATATACTAGGGCATGACTGCATTCAAAACCCTGTAGAGCACTTGTTCTCAATCTTTTTGGCTTGAAGGCTGCACAATATATACCATACACAATATCTGAAGGACCTCTACAGTATATAATATAAGCAGAACTCCTATATATAATATATATAAATTTAAATCATTCATCTTTTTTCACCTCAATAAATATAGTTTTTATTGAAGAATACACACAGTATATTAAATCACACACAAATTTTGTTTATTTTGAATATATAAAACTACTTTTTAGCTCTAAAAGAAAGCCTTTTGCGTGCTCAATAGGGAGATTGTCAAATAAAAAATAAAAAAAATCTACAGTTATAAGAAATCAGGAGTCCAACTGGCACATTAGTGTACAAGTTCTAAAATACACACAAGATGTTGTTTTGTTATTTGCATGCAAGCCCATCTGTGCTTTGTGCTTTATGCAAACAAGCAGTAGTCTGATAACAGGTATAACACGGTCGAAAAAAATGGACCATAATAACCTTGTGGACATCCACATCAATGGTTTAGAGTTCAAACAGACAGCTAATCTCTGTGTGGTACACATCTGGTCATAAACATGCGGTAGGGAGACAAACACTTATGGCAAGAACTCTGTGCATGGTGTATTATGAAGGGGTGTCAAAGACAGGGCCCGAGGGTTGAATACGGTCCATGGAGGAGTCCAGTAAGCCTTTTGGATGATTTGAGGAAAAATTATTTAATCCAATCTGGCCTTCAAACTACAGTGAATGTGGCACCCTTTCTGTTTTCCTCTTTATTGTTTTAGTGTTTCCCATAAGTATGCGTGAGCCACAGATGTTTAAGGGTAATATGTGTAGAACTCAGAGTCAAAATCTGCTCATCAGGTTATCGCAATGCTCAAACTCACACAGCAAATACAAATTCAATTCCATCAAGTTAGTGGACTCATCATAAACAATCAGTTCATCTTCATACGAATGAAATTCAGGAGGTTCAGGATATAAAGAATCAAGTTGATAAAGCCTTGTATAAGTGTGGGGTTATTTTCTTTGTCCTGGTTCAGTCGAACTGAGGACAAGTTACTGGGTGTTGATAGACCATCTAAAGAGGGGACTCTAAACCGGACTGGTGTGTTTGTAAAACACAACACACACACACACACACACACACACACACACACACACACACACACACACACACACACACACACAGTAAATGACTGAACAGATGTCTACGACTCTTTACTCATATTGATGGTGGTAGTCGAACTGCTGTTTAGATTTAAAAGCGAGGTGAGGCAACATTTCCATAGCCAAATCACACTGCTCTCGGTTTACAATTTCTGCAAGCATGTCACTTATATATTTTGCAAGAAGTTGCAGAAACCGAACCAGTTTGTTTGAGAGATACAGGATTGCTGTTGCTTGATTTGTTTTGTTTGTGAAATTTATAAAGTGCAGCGTGCTAAAGCTGTTTAACTCAGCAAACTGCCAACAACAATAGTTCTCAGGGGAATGCAACAAATGTAAATGATTAGATAAACATATTCATATCCAATATGTGAATGTCCAGGTTGTTTTGATGCACTCAAAACAAGCAGTAACACTTGTGAGATAAATTGCTGTTACTTTCCCTGAGACTAGCAAGAATGTTGCTAAAGAGTGCTGTCATTAATTAAAGCTGACACACCGTTCTTCAGACAAAGCAATGAAATGAACACTAATTCAGCTGTGCAATTTACCGCAAACAATCGCTAGTGTTATGTAAGGGGCCCTGTGTGCACTAGAGACATTCTTTAAATCTCTTTCCCTTCTCACTGTTCAATAAATTAGTTAATGTTCCATAATGGAATGGACACAGTATCCATTCTCACTTAGACAGAGCTCCAGACCATAACAACTACTACACTGCACTGTATTTCACACACACACACAAATATTGTTATATTCAAGAGAAGAACATATATGGCATTATTATTTTCATTTCAGAATATTCTGAAATTATACAGTTTTTTTTAATACAAAGAAACATAGATCATGTATATGAAATAAAATACTCCATCAACAATATTCCAGGAGTTAAATGGCCATGCTGAAACTGTGCTCTGGCCAACAAGACTCAAATTATTGTTTACTTTTTTAGTCTATATCACTGTTTGTTAATATTGGCTGTCTGTCACATGAGAAGCATGCTCCTAACACTCATTCTGATAACCTGCTCTGATGCAACAGTGTTTCCTCAAATTGGAAATCCCAAATGCACAAAAAAAGTGGAGTTAAGTTAAGAATTCATCAAACCAATACTGAAAAAAATAAAACATTAAAACATTTTGTTCTTCCACCAGGTACCCAAAAAACGACACCCTAAGGGCAACAACTGAAATTCTTTCTGTAATGGATGATCCAAATTCCTTAAAATGTGCCTTGGTTAAAACCTGTTTATGATAAATTTTAATAGGTTGAGTCATTCTAATAACTTTTCCTGCCAGACTACAATACAGAAAGAGAACACTGATTCACCTCTACAGGTCCAAGGTAAGCAGAAAATGTTGATGACAAAGTCAGTTTTATATTATATTATATTATATTATATTATATTATATTTAGGGCTGTTGCGATTTGTCGATTCTATTCGACTATTCGATTAAAAAAAATCCTTGCCTGCGTCGACTAACCGGCAAAATACCGGAAGTGGCGCATTACACGGACGAGAATCCATAAAACACATTATTAGCACTGATCTATATGATTCTCTATAGATCAGTGATTATTAGACTGTTTTCCAAGGTCTCATGATATATTAAACCCGTTTAAAAATCATAATTAAGCATAACTGTGAATTCACAAACGCTACGATTTAAATAATTATATGCAATGCAGTTATAGGCGTGTAGGTTACGTACGTGCATCTCACAGTAGGTTAACTCCGTTCACAGTAAATGCTGTTCCACAGGATCTGATATCTGAGATCACAACCATCTGTGCATGTTGTTGTGAGTTTGGGTTTATTATAACGTTCATCTGGGAACGCAACGTGCGCCATTTCACCAGATTTGAATCAAAATCATTTAGAAATCCACGTAAACACAGGAGAATCATTATCTCGCGGTTTCAAAATAAAAGTTCCAACATTCACTCTGAGTTTACACGTTTCGATGTCCACATATTAATTAAATTACAGTGGCTATAGCATTTCTGTCCTAAAGAAATGGCAAAATATTAAAGATTAAGTGGACATTTGAATTAACTGATGCTTGGTAAATATTAAACAAGTATTAGATCGCACAGTAATGTGTAAAAA